TACAAGTTGAAATGTGACCGGTCAACCCCAGACAAATCCTTGCTCAAAGTGCTGAGTGTTTATGAGCAGGAGGCGGGAATGAGGCCCTAGGGTGAGGGGAGGGGAGGGGGGACCTTCTAGAGGGCACAGGGGTGGTGGAGGAGGGGAGGAGAAGGGGAACTTCTAGAGGGCACAGAGGGAGGGGGAACCTTCTAGAGGGTACAGGGGCAGGGGGGCAGGCGGCCCCATGGGCAGGGACATGGGACATGCAAGGCTGCCATGGCTTGCAGGACTGAGTAGGGATGAACCTAGATGGGGCCGGAATGGAACAAGTCGTGAGCACCTCCAAAGTCAGAGGGGGAGAGGCCTGGGGTCCACTAGGTCTGGGGGCACAGGGAGGACGGAGGCCCGGGGTCCCTGAGGCCTCTCCTGCAGATGATGGCTGCTGCCATGGAGTGGCCGGCCCTGTAGACCATAAGGCGTGTGAATGGTCATGGAGTGGAGAGGGGTGACCAGAGCCCTGGGCGCAAGCAATTCAGGACAGGGGAGGCAGAGCCAGGTCTGTGCCCACAACGGGGGTTCCTGGAGCTGCTGCTGGGAGCAGGGCCCCCCTAGCCAGTCCACCTGCCATGACAGATGGAGACACTGAGGCTCAGAGAGAGGCAGATGTTTGCTGAAGGCCACAGCCATCAGGAAGGGGTAGGAGCCATGGAGGGCACAGGAAGGAAGGAGAGAGGTGGGGAGAGCCTCACAGGAGACCACAAGGACTCTCCTGCCACCACCGCCCACAGCCGGTCCCTGCCCCAGGAGGACAACTGTGCTATGGACCAGCCCCAGGGCAGTCTGTGTCCCCCAGGCAGAGCTCCAGAATCGGGGAGCCACCGTCCCCACTCTGGCTGGCCTGAGCCCCAGGTCACAGCCACAGCCAACAAGGTCATCCCATATCTTCCCTTCACCGAGACTGAGGAATGCACTCCCAGCTGGAGGGGCCCTCGCTGTGGTGGGTTCCCTGGCAGTGGTCTGAGCTTCCAGTTGGAGGGTTCCTGGCTGCAGTGGGCTCCCTGGCAGGGGTCTGAGCTTCCCAACTGGAGGGGCGCTGGCTGTGGCGGGCTCCCTGGCAGGGGTCTGAGCTCCCAACTGGAGGGGCGCTGGCTGTGGCGGGCTCCCTGGCAGGGGTCTGAACTCCCAGCTGGAGGGGCGCTGGCTGTGGCGGGCTCCCTGGCAGGGGTCTGAGCTCCCAGCTGGAGGGGCGCTGGCTGTGGTGGGCTCCCTGGCAGGGGTCTGAGCTCCCAGTTGGAGGGTTCCTGGCTGCAGTGGGCTCCCTGGCAGGGGTCTGAGCTCCCAGCTGGAGGGGCGCTGGCTGTGGCAGGCTCCCTGGCAGGGGTCTGGACACATCATACATTCTTCGCATACCTGAGGGCCCCAGAGAGAGAGACCGAGTCCCATGCCTGTCCTCTCTCCTGACCTGCCCCACGGGAGGGGCAACTGAGAATCCCGCAGGGAGGGACAGCACAGGCCCAGGGTAGACAGGGGAGCTGGGAACTAGCGAGGGGCACCTGGGCGGGTTCCGGAGGAGGCCAGAGAGGCGGCAGTAATCAGAGGAAGACGGCTGCGATGGAACCAGGCTGAGAGAGAACAGCTGAGAGCAGGCAGAGCCTCTGCCCACCCGGCCCGGGGATGACGGCGCAGGACAATCACCTGGGGGGCTTCAGCCACGGACCCCGACCCGGACCTGGACCCAGACCCGGACCCAGACCCGGACCCGGACCCGAACCCGGACAGCCCAGGAAGATGGAGCCAGGACCAGCGCCCACAGATCTGCAGACTCGGGCGCCTGCAGGACAAATCCTCAGAAGATGAACAGTCCCCTGTCCCGGACACTCGTCCTGAAGACCAAAGCGGGACCCCCAGATACAGGAATGGACCAGGAAGCATCCCAGTAACTGCCCTGTGCTCCAGCCCTGGACTGAGACTACCGGTGTCCAGGCAGTAGGAGGCTGGAGATACTGAGGAGTCCCCCGTCCTCGGGCGGGGAGACAGCACCATGTCAGGTAAACAGCCCCCCAAGCCACTGGCCCTGGCCCAGGCGTGGGAAGCATCTGAGAGTCATCAGGGAGGCCTTGGGCTGTCCTGGGCTCGAGGCCTCTGGGTGGGGACGGGCTCCACCCTCCATATGCTGGGTTTTCTGGGAGCCTCCCAGGGAATGAGGCCAAGGCCCAGGACTGCTTTAAGTTTGGAGAGGAGCAGGCTCCTTGGCCTGGGTCTCCGCCGTGCATTTGGGCAGCAAGACCAAGAGTAGGACCCACTGAGGCACTGTCAAGGAGCCCAGCCAGACCCTCGGGCCTCGCTCCTTATGCCCCTCCCCCAGCCAGGATTGGGTCCTGCAGGGCTCACCTGCTGGCCTGAGTGAGTCCAGCTGGGAGGGCTGGGAGGCCAGAGGGAGGGGCTGGGCAGCAGGAAGGCCGGGCTGGGAGGCAGGAGGGCAGAGCTGGGAGGGCAGCCAGCTCCAGGGGCCCGTGCCTGTGCCAGACCCAGTGGGAGCAGCAGGTGCATGGGCAGCCCCTCCCATAGGCATCAAGGCTTGGTGAGGTTGGGGCCAGTGGGGACCACCTGGGACAGGCCACGCCCCAGGCCCCTCCCTTCAAGTGCCTTCACTCCTTCTGAACCTCCAGTCTCCCCAACAGCAGCCTCCTAAAATCTTGCTTCCTGTGGCCACACTCAGAGACTCCATATCCCTCCCCACTGGCGGGACCTCAGGTGCTGACCGCTTGTGACCGTGTCCCCCTGATCAGAAGGAACTGAGGCCCAGAGTGTGGCAGGACCCGCTGAGGTTCCCCTACTGTCAGCATCACAGTTGGGCCCTGGATTGAGCACAGTGGGTGTCCTGGCCCTGCGCCCAGCCTGCCCGGAGCCTCCCGCTCCCCCTCACCTGCACCCGCTGGAGCAGCAATGTTACCACTCACGTTGCTCAGAGGAGAGGAGCCGAGGCCGAGAGGCCAACGACCTGGCTTGGGTCTTGAGTTCCGCGCTGGCAGCCGATGCCCCAGAGCCCCCAGCAGCCCGGCCCACTCTCTCCAGACTCCCTTCGTGGTAGAAGAGCACGTGCGGCCGGCTCCCCTGTGCGGCTCCAGGAGGCTCCTGTGGCGCACACTTGCTCAAAGTGACCCTACAGATGCCGTTGATGCAGTAATCCCACTTCTAGGAAGATAGTGCTTTAGGTAAAAATCTTTTGGTTGCCTGTGCTAGATGACCCAACGTTAAAAGGTCTTAAGAGAAAGAAGACATAGTGGGGCATCTTAGTGGTGCATTTAGATGAACATCCCAGGAGAGCTTCAGGTAGGGCTGGATCCAGGGCCCTACCACGTTCACCAGGCCCCCCAGTGCCGTCATTCTAGGGCCTCCTGTGCTGACAGGCTGTCTGTGTGCGGCTCCAGCAAGAGGATGCCTCTGTCATGGAGACCTCCCTGATCCTGTCTGACCTGCACTGTGGCTCCTGGAGACCCAAGGTCCTGCCAGGCCAGGCTCTTTCCTTTTCCTCAAAGTGTCCTGTGTCCTGGGTGAGGCTGAGGTGCTGCCTTTACTAACAGGCTCTCAGGGACGGGGTGTCTCTGATCCTGAAGTAGCAAGGCTCTGCCACCCCCAGGGGCCTGTGACCCAGGCCTGACCATGTTAAATGTTTGTCTAGTCATGAATGGAACTGATGTCTCAGGTGAACTGAAGGATGATATAAAATCCCTGTTTGCTTCTAGGATAACTGATGCTTTCAGTAGGAGGTTCTCTCCCTACTCTTTTTCTCTATACATTCAATGTGTTTACAGAGCGAAAGGGATACCCGTCGCTGACATGACTTTTCTCGTGGCTACAGATGGTATTTTCCCTGGAAATCTTCCTCCAGCTTTGGGAGTGGTCTCAAGTGTGGGGGCATGAGAATTGCTTGGGGTGCCTGGGAAAACACAGATCCAGCCTGTAGATTGCATTAGCTCATGGATGGTTTGATTCACCACGAGGTCTGAGAAGCATTTGCTCTACAAAGTTATTTTTTAAATTATGTCACTATAATTGTTGATTTTTGTTTTTGTTTTTTGAGACAGGGTCTCTCTGTCACCCAGGCTGGAGTACAGTGGTGCAGTCATGGTTCACTTCTGCCTTGAACCTCTGGGCTCAAGGGATCCTCCTATCTTACCCTCCCAAGTACCTGGGACTACAGGTCTGCACCACCACACCTGGCTGAGGTTTTTAGTTTTGTAGAGATGGGGTTTAACTATGTTGCCCAGGCTGGTCTCAACCTCCTGGGGTCAAGCAATCCCCCAGCCTCAGCCTCCCAAAGTGCTGGGATTATAGGCATGAGCTGCTGTGCCTGGCTGATAGTTTGATTTTCATATGCCATTGAAGTCATTTTACCTCATGGTTTTGAAATACTTTTTGGTCTTCTTAGCAGTTTAAAAATATTGTTTTGTTCTTTTTTTCTTCTGAGTTTGGAGCTTTCCTGTTACTAATTACATTTCTTTTTAGACAGGTGCATGCTACTACACCCAGCTAATTTTTGTATTGTTTTATTTTGTTTTGTTTTGGTAGAGCTAGGGTCTTGCTATGGTACCCAGGCTGGTCTTCAACTCCTAGGCTCAAGCAGTCTTCCTGCATCAGCCTCCCAAAGTGCTAGAATTACAGGCTGAGGCAGCACACGAGCCCTAATTACTTTTATTAGGCCAAATTCCTTGTGTGGAATTCCTGTGCTTTGCACACAAATTGCCAGGTTGGCCCCAGAAAGGTGGATTCCATTTTCCCCTTTCCGTGCCTACGTGGGTGACCAGTGTCCCGAATCCTACAGGAGCTCTTGTTGATCTTTGTCCTCTATTTGCTGAGATAAAGTCCACCATGGATTTCTGCTGCTTTTATTCATTGTCAGTCCACACATAGGGACAAAGTGCTGTGCTCTCCTTAGAAAGCCATTTGCTAAGTGAGAACTCCGGGGAGGGCGGGCCTGAAGGAGCGCTTGCTGTCAGTCATTTCGATCAGGGACAGGGCAGAGTCCACTGTCACACGTGGAGCTGCCCAGTCATTCCCCACCCCTACAAAGTCTGGGCTGACTAAGGGGGTGCTTAGAAGGGAACGCCTGGGGGTTGGAGGTCTCTTAGCTGCATATTTCCCTGTTATCAGTGTTGAAGTTAAATACAGAGATGAATCCTTGAAATTAAAATGTTTTATTTGGGGAAAGGAGTGTAATTTGTGGGTATCTGTAGCCTGGGTGGTTTAAGATGTCCAAAAAATGAAGAAAGGCTGGAGGTTTTATAAAGAGAAGAAATATTACTACTGCTCTGTGAGGAAGCTCATTGGCGCTGGTGAGTTTGGGGAGCTGGCAAGCTCCAACTGGCTGGTCCTGCTGCAAGGGCAGAGGGTGAAGCGAGTGAGAGTTGTGTCAGCGGCTTGTTTAGTAGGTGTGAGGTAAACTGGGTTCAGGGAGTGGCAGCAGTTTTCAGCAGCCGGGCTTACAGAGAATGCCATTCTAGCAGAAATTCTACGTGCCCCGAGTGCTCCTTCCCCCGGCCTCTTGACCCTCGATTGCGTAGGACAAGAATGACCCAGTTTGTGTGATTATCTTTACATTTTTCCCTTTTGATCAAGATGTTTCTCTAAAAGCATCGCTAACCAGCCATTCTGCAGCCAGGCTTATCTGTCCCTGGTGCTGCGACGGGCCTGTGCCAGCTGTCTGTGTCCCACATTGCAGGGAACATGGCGGGGGGGGGGCTCTATGTCAGCAACCTGGGCCACATTTGTGTAATCACAAGGCCAGAAGGAAAAAATGTCTCAAAGCAGTCTTTTTTTTTTTTTTTTGAGACGTAGTTTTGCTCTTATAGTCCAGGCTGGAGTGCAATGGCACTATCTTGGCTCACTGCAACCTCTGCCTCCTGGTTTCAAGCAATTCTTCTGCCTCAGCCTCCTGAATAGCTGGGATTACAGGCATGCGCCACCACGCCCAGTTGATAATTTTTCTTTCTTTCTTTCTTTCTTTCTTTCTTTCTTTTTTTTTTTTTTTGTAGAGACAGGGTTTCACCATGTCGGCCAGGCTGATCTCGAACTCCTGACCATAGGTGATCTGCCCGCCTCGGCCTCCCACAGTGCTGGGATTACAGGCGTGAGCCACCGCTCCTGGCCTCAAAGCAGTTTCATCTGGAGTCCAGTATTAAGTTTGATGTCATCTGCTTTATAGGCATTAGTCATTACCTGGAAGTGCTGAGCAAGTATTATCCTGTTAGGAGAGTTGGCTTCGTTGAGGTTAGACAGGCAGTAAGAACAACATTTAAAAATTATAATGAAAAAATTGGCAACAATATAATAAACTTAGTTCCTAGAAATGGTTTTTGAACTAACAGCCCAAGCCTAAGGGAAGTAAATTAAACAAAAGGCCTGTGATAGCCACTCTGTAGTATTTCATACAGGATCGAATTAAACTAGCGAACGCCAGCTTTATAAAAGGGACCACCAGCACGATTTGAACAAAAAATTGTGTTAGGGAAAATGCCAAATGTGCCCACTAGGTGGACTAAAAGGATTGGTTTTTTTAGGTCAGGTTTTCTCAAGTTACCTATAGCAGTTACTTACTGTGAAATTTTAATTATAGCATTATCCTGCCAAGTGAAATAGTGGCATTGAGAGGGTGAGAGTCTCATTACTATATGGAGCCTTATAACAACATCCTAGGAAAACCCGTTTTTTAAGGTTTATTTTTCAACTTTTGTTTTTAAGTAGTGGAGTCTCATCATGTTGCCCAGGCTGACATTTAACTCCTCCGGCCTCAGCCTTCCAAGTAGCTGGGACTACAGGCACCATGCCTGCTGGAAAAGCTGTTTGTAGCAGGGAAAACACCAGCTTCTCCTCTTGGTTTGTGGTTTGGTTGTCTCTGATTACGGCGTCATGCAATTTGGTGAACTTTTGGTGTGGTTCATGTATCAGGCGTAAGACTTGTTTTTTACTTCATTAATTTTGTTTTTTATTTTTCTATTTTAAATTATTTCATACTAGTTTATTTAGGGGTTCCATTTTCACTCCTTAATAGATTTTTCCGTATTTTTTATAAGCTTCTTTACTCATAAGTTCATCTAGTTCTTGTTTTTTTTTTTTTTTTTTTTGAGACAGTTTTGCTCTTGTCGCCCAGGCTGGAGTGCAACAGTACGATCTTGGCTCACTGCAACCTCTGCCTCTTGGGTTCAAGTGATTCTCTTGCCTCAGCCTCCTGAGTAGCTGGGATTACAGGTGCCTGCCACCACGCCCAGCTAATTTTTGTATTTTAGTAGAGACAGGATTTTGCCACGTTGGCCAGACTGGTCTCAAACTCCTAACCTCAGATGATCCACCTACCTCAGCCTCACAAAGTGCTGGGATTACAGGTGTCAGCCACCACACCTGGCCAAGTTCATCTAGTTCTGAAGAGTTACTCAGTGTCATCTCGATTGGCCAAACATCTTTATAACAAAATTTTTTGATAAGTTCTGTATTTTCTGCAAGAGCTTCATAAATTTCAGTTACTTCTCCTGATAAAGGAGAATGGAGTTCACTAACAGCTTTCACACTTTCCAAAGCACCAAATTCATCCTGTTTGTTCAATTTTGTCCCAGCTTCAGGCAGACTACAGTAAAAACATCTCCCAACGCTTCCTGTGCAAAATGCGTGATTCACACTGTTCCCATACCATTTCCTGTTGTTCTCCAATCATGCTTCCTTGTGAATTCATGCACTGAGAGCAGAGCAGGTTCCGTGTGCAAACCGTGCCCACCCCCTGCCACCAAGACCTCGGCCGGTGAGGCATGGCAGGTGCCAAGGCCCCGCTCAAGCTGCAGACCACAGCCCACACACACTGCGCCACCCAGTGCCATGTTTATAGGGAGGGGTGCAGAGGATCCCCATGCTGTGCTTTGGTCACTGTTTTTTTGTTTTTATTTTTCTAGAGACAGAGTCTCGCTCTGTTGCCAGGCTGGAGGTGCAGTGGGGCAATCCAAATTCACTGCAGGCTTGAAGTAGCTGGGACTATAGGCGTGTGCCACCACACCCAGCTAATTTATTTTTTGTAGAGACAGGGGTCTCGCTATGTTGCCCAGGCTGGAGTGCAGTGACACAATCATAGCTCACTGCAGCCTCTAACTCCTGGGCTCAAGTGATTCTCCCACCTCAGCCTCCCAAGTAGCTGAGACTACAGGTATTAATATATGCCATAGCACCTGGCTAATTCATTTTATTTTATTATTTGCAGAGAAGGGGTCTCACTTTGTTGCTCAGACTGGTCTCAAACTCCTGGCTTCAAGCGATCCTCCCGTCTTGGACTTTGTTTTGTAATATCTGTTTAGTTTTAGCTTAGTGGGCTTCAGGAACAGAGCACTTTTCATTTTGGTAATTTTATGGAAGAAAGTTGGATTGGAGGTACCTAGAAGAATTTAGGATTTAGTCGAGTCTAAAGTAGATAAGAACTCAAAAATAGTGCATAGAGTTAAAATCTAATAACAGGTGTATTATAGCTTTTTTTTTTTTAAAGGAATATAACTCTTTTTTTACCTTGATCATATAGGAATTTCAGATGAAAAATCTCTTGAGGCTAGAAAGTCAAACCAAGTAAGACTTTAGATTTTACTCATAGTCCTAAGGTTCTTGGGCCTGCCAGAAAATGACAGTTTTTATTAACTTACTGTAAGGCTGAGAACCCTTGAAGTCAGATATTTTATGTGTATTTTAAAATATGACATTTTAGTCAGTCTTGGTAGTTAAAACCAGTGTTTTTCATTGTATTTTGTTATAAAGAGAGCATATTTTATTGGACTTATATAAATAACCATATTGTCATACGTATACTCACATATAGTTTTCACATTTTGGAGGAATCAAGTGAGGAGATAAAACACAAATTTTTTATCTTTGTTTATAAAAATTTATTTTATCAAATTGTAGTAAATTATAGATAGCTTAAAAGAGAAGATTTTCTTTTCTTTTTTTTTTGAGATGGAGCCTCGCTCTGTCGCCCAGGCTGGAGTGCAGTGGTGCGATCTCGGCTCACTGCAAGCTTGGTCTCCCAGGTTCACGCCATTCTCCTGCCTCAGCCTCCCGAGTAGCTGGGACTACAGGCACTGCCACCTCGCCCGGCTAATTTTTTTTGTATTTTTAGTAGAGACAGGGTTTCACCGTGTTAGCCAGGATGGTCTCGATCTCCTGACCTCATGATCTGCCCGTCTCGGCCTCCCAAAGTGCTGGGATTACAGGCGTGAGCCACCATGGCCAGCCATTCTTGTCCATGTATTCTGGTAAAGATATATACAGGTTCTGTTGTGCATGGAGCAAGTTGCTGGGTCACAGGGTTTGGGTAGGTTCCGCTTTGGTGGACACTTCCAGACAGTTTTCCCAGGTGTTTGTACAAAGTGCACTCCCACTAACAAAGCGTGATGCCTCTGGGTGCCATCCTGGCCAACACTTGATATTCTCGGTTGTTTCCATTTTAGCCAGTGGTGGGTGCATAATTGCATCAAATTTTGATTTTACTTGACATTTCCTTGATGACTGAGGAAGTCAAACACTTTTTCATATTCTTATTAGCCATTTGGAAGTGTACGTTTTTGACATTCCCATTTCAATCTTAAGAAGCCAGTTTTTCTACTGGGTCCCGGTCTTGGTATGATTGATTTATAGGAGTGCTTCGTGTTTTCTGGACACTAGTATTTTTCAGATACACGTATTAAGGTATCTTCTGGAATTGTGCAACGTCCCTTTTTACTTTATTGCTGGTGTTAAATAAGCAGAGAGGATGCCATTGGTTTGGACTGAGCTTCTGCACTAGGACCAACAGACCAAGCCAAAATGCAGCTACTCATGCAGGGAGTTTCACACCACTGAGCAGACACTAAGTTGTTTATCTGACCCTCTTTCAGGAGACAGAGAGAGAGGGAGGGAGAGAGAGAGAGAGAGAGAGAGACCCCAAATTCCCAGATAGGCCAGTTTTAGCCGGGGCAATAAGGGAAGTCCACTGTGCTTTAACCATGACAAGGAAAGTAACTGCGAGATGACCAATCTGCTTTTTGGTCTCTGTTTCTGCTTTCTTCCACCCTTCCTGCCAACCTCTCCTGCTCAGCTCATCCAAATGCTCCTTCTATTTCCTAAGAATGAGGGGTTGCCCAAGTCTAGAATTGCAAATAAAAACCTATTCAATCTTAACTGAATTTGCTGTATTTTGTCATTTGACATTAGTGACTTTGAGGAATACAGGTTTTCATTTTAGCTGTATTCTTTCTTTCTTTCCTTCCTTCCTTCCTTCCTTCCTTCCTTCCTTCCTTCCTTCCTTCCTTCCTTCCTTCCTTCCTTCCTTCTTTCTTTTTTAGACAGGGCCTCACTCTGTCACCCATGCTGAGTTCGATAGCACAATCTCCTCTCACTGCAACCTCAACCTCCTGGGCTCAAACGATCCTCCAACCTCAGTCTCCCAAGTAGCTGGGACTGCAGGTGCACACCACCATACCTGGCTAATTTTTGTATGTTTTGTAGAGACGGGGTTTCATCATATTGCCCAGGCTGGTCTTGAACTCGTGGGCTCAAGTGATCCACCCACCTCAGCCTCTTGAAGTGTTGGGATTACAGGCATGAGCCACCATGCCTGGCCCATTTTAACAGTATTCTCCTTACCTTTCCCTGCTTTGTGGGGGGAGACAAAAGGAGCAGCCCTGTCCCCAGAAGCTGGTGGTAACACAGCTGGGCTGAGTTATTCTCCTGTCGGACAGGAGCCACCTCACAGAACACCAATATCAGACGGAGTGTCTGATATCAGACGGGGTGTCTGTGAGACGGTGACAGAATTAGACAAGACAAGGCCACTTTAAACTTTGTCCGAACACAGACAAAAGCAAGGTCACTGTGTCACCCTCAAATTTCCAGCCAGCCCCTCTGTTGGCAAAAATGAGTGGCAGCAGCTGCTTTACGGGTTCTCCATTCTTCTCTGCCCACTGCCGAGGAGCTTTGTTGAGACGCCTGATCACAGAACCAGCCTGAGTTCTGACAGCATCCACACTACAGGGAACCCCTGATTCTTCACACCCTCCCCCAAGCCCCCAGTTCTGGCTCAGTGTGGGTACAAGTTCTTTCTAACCCCTCTGAGCGCATGTCTGGCGCTTCCTGTGGTGCCTGCTCTTCCTCTCTGCGATGCATAAGCTCAAACTGCTCAGCTACAAGTGCGTCCAGTGGCCTTTAGCTGGAGTGTTGACAGGAAGAAGCATGTGTGTGTTAAGAAATTTTTGCATCAAAGTCAAGCACGCATGCTGCCGGAAGGACAACCAACAATCTGGTTTGCCTAGAACTGAGGGTGCCCTCAGACCTCAGGGTTTCCACTTCAAAGCTGGCAGGATCCCAGGCGAGCTGGAACAAGTTGGTCAACCTAGCTGTCTTACTGAGGCTTTTACCCATCTCTGCAGATCTTAAGCTTCTACTTTGTAGATTTGGGGGTGCTGGGGACAGCATTTGACAGCCAGGACCTGCCCAAGAAGGAGAATCCAATAAGAGGCCCCAGAACGTTTTTAAACTATTTGCACTCAGTTTTCAAGTGCATATGTTAATTATGTCAATTATAATGCAGACTGACTGAGCTGGGCTCCCTCTGTTTCTATATAAAATTAAGTTACCCAGGAAACACTATGTCTTATTTTAAAAACTTTGGTAAGTAGGTCATAAATACATTTAGAACTACATGGAAATTAAATGTTACTATTACATACAATGCTACAAGTGACTTAAAACATGCAAATCTGGTGGAATTCTGTGTCAAATTGGCTAAATAGCCTTTCAAATAGCAAAAGTAACTCTCAGAACACAGTCTGCACAAATCACAGCACTCAGTGCCCCTGCGGGAGGGGCCTGTTCTGCCCACCCACGGCAGCATGATCTGTGGTGCTCAGGCAGCCCTGCCATGGGGCAACAGAGGGGAGAGGCCTCCAGATACCATTCCAGGAAACCATGAAACCCCACCGTGCACTCATGGAACCCCTGGCCAGAGACAGGCTCAGCCCATTCTCCATTTTGACTTTCTTTAAAAATGACATCCGGCCCTATGGATATATAAAAGCCAGGAAATTGTGCACTCTGCGTGAATTATATTTGAATAAGGTGTTATTTAAAAAGAGCACAAGGCCGGGTGCGGTGGCTCACGCCCTTAATCCAACACTTTGGGAAGCTAAGGCAGGCAGATCACCTGAGGTCAGGAGTTCAGGACCAGCCTGGCCAACGTGGTGAAATCCCGTTTCTACTAAAAATACAAAAATTAGCCGGGCCTGGTGGCACGCACCTGTAATCCCAGCTACTTGGGAGACTGAGGCAGGAGAATTGCTTGAACCTGGGAGGCAGATGTTGCAGTGAGCTGAGATCGCACCACTACACTCCAGGCTGGGTGATACAGTGAGACTCTGTGTCAAAAAAATAATAAAATAAAAAAGTAAAAAGAGCACAGATTCCTAGTTTTGATCCTTAGTGAGATGTCACCATTGAGGGAACTGGGGAGAGTACAGGACTCCACTATTTTGGTAACTTCCTGTGAGTCTCTACTTTTTCAAAGTTAATACAAAGCTTTTTAAATCATTAGGTAATCACAATTGGAATATTTAGTAACTCCAGTTGAATAATTGAGGAAATCATTGAAAATATTTAAAAGTGACCCTGGCCCCATTTTCCAGCACACACCTGAGGCCCTGGGTGCTGAGGGAGCCGTGGGGCCTCCTTCCCTGGGGTGGACCCTCTTGTATCCCAGGACTTCTGGCACCGGCTCTCTCTAGGGACCCCATGAGGTGGGCGGGGTCCTCACACTGCGCCCTCTTCCCACCCTGCCCACTGCAGCTCAGGGCCAGAATCCTGGGGTTCCACACCCAGCCCCACCCATGTTTGATTCTCCTGGTCTCTACTGCACCAGCCACTGCAACCCTGGGTCGATTCTGGAAGGCCTCCTGGGTGCAGGGAGGGGCAGGACCCTTGCCCTTGCTCGCATGTGGCGGCCTCCCCCTGGCAGCGGAAAGGGCCCTCCCCTGGCCACATCTGTGCAGGTTCCAATAACCGGTCACACGGGAACATGTGGGCGTAGCATTAAAAAAATGCCCCGAGTTAATTTCCTGGGCCCAGCTCCTTTCTGCTTCAGATTTCAGCCTCTTAGGGGAATAAGCCAGGAAGTGGGCTCGGGCCACAGATACAGGAGTGGGAGGAGAGTAGGTGGGAGGACCCGTGTGGTCAGACCAATACTCCCACTGAAACCAGATCCTACGGTGGACTCGGTGTTTTAAAATGTGTCTTTTTGAAAGACTGGAGAGCTGGCAAGGTAATCAGGCCCTAGGGAAGGGAGGCAGGACTCTGTGGGGTCAGCCCAGGAGAGTTTAGGGGTGGATGAGAACATTGATTGCCATGGGCTCCAGGGGAGGGGAAACAGAACACAAACCCCTGTGTGCTCAAGTGGAATGTCCCCAAGGAAGTCCCCTCCACATTGTACTGGGTGCACAAAGGGTCTCACAGTCACAGTTGGGTCACCCAGAGTGAACCTACATTTGACAAATGCTCCCCCAGAACTCACATTTCCTACTGTGAGAAATGTGAGAAATAAACTAATCTGTCCAAACCCAAAGAATGGACTCAGAGACCCAGAGAACAACAAAAGTGAGAGGTTTTTTTTTTGTTGTTTTTGAGATTTTTGTGCCCGGCCCGAAAATGAGACTTTTAATGACGGTCTTGCAAGATCAGGTGTCTGATGAGCTGGCACACCCAGCACAGTTTCAACAAGCAATTTATCCCCTAGTGCGCAGGTCCCTCCCCTGGTTCCTCATAGGCTGAGTACTGTGGGATCACAATCTTCCCAGACGTCTCGCTCTATCACCCAGGCTGGAGCTCAGTGGTGCAGTCTCGGCTCACTGCAACCTCTGCCACCCAGGTTCAAGTGATTCCCCTGCCTCAGCTTCCTAAGTAACTGGGACTACAGGCACCCGCCACCACACCTGGCTAATTTTTGTGTTTTTAGTAGAGACGGGGTTTCACCATCTTGGTCAGGCTGTTCTTGAACTCCTGACCACGTGATCCACCCTTCTGAGCCTCCCAAAGTGCTGGGATTACAGACTTGAGCCACTGTGCCCGGCCCGAAAATGAGACTTTTAATGACAGTCTTGCAAGATCGGGTGTCTGATGGGCTGGCACACCCAGCACAGTTTCAACAAGCAATTTATCCCCTAGTGTGCAGGTCCCTCCCCTGGTTCCTCATAGGCTGAGTACTGTGGGATCACAATCTTCCCAGACGTCTCGCTCTATCGCCCAGGCTGGAGCTCAGTGGTGCAGTCTCAGCTCACTGCAACCTCTGCCACCCAGGTTCAAGTGATTCCCCTGCCTCAGCTTCCTAAGTAACTGGGACTACAGGCACCCGCCACCACACCTGGCTAATTTTTGTGTTTTTAGTAGAGACGGGGTTTCACCATCTTGGTCAGGCTGTTCTTGAACTCCTGACCACGTGATCCACCCTTCTGAGCCTCCCAAAGTGCTGGGATTACAGACTTGAGCCACTGTGCCCGGCCCGAAAATGAGACTTTTAATGACAGTCTTGCAAGATCGGGTGTCTGATGGGCTGGCACACCCAGCACAGTTTCAACAAGCAATTTATCCCCTAATGTGTAGGTCTCTCCCCTGGTTCCTCACAGGCTGAGTACTGTGGGGTCACAACCTTCCTGGACGTCGCCTATTGGCTGTTGGGCAGGGGCTTTAGGTGTTTCCTTTAGGGTTGTCTTGTTGCATTTTGTTGCAGCCCACAGTGCATTGCAATTCTAGTTAGCTCAGGGGCTCTTCAAGTATTTGATTTATGACCTAAGTAGCTGGGCAGGCTGTTAAGAACGGACAAAGCAAGCTATTTTGCAGGCTAGTAAACTTTCATTTTAGACTAAACTTTTTTGGTTTGGATGAGGGCAACTAAGAGGGAAGCAGGAGAAGGGGCAGGGGGACGCTGAAAAGCAGGCATCAGCCATCCAAGCAGGGGCCTAGTATACCTTGTTTCTTCTGTAGTTTGCTGACCCAAGCCAATTCAAGGCCCATTGTCTTGGAAATGGACCACTGTATACATTATTTCCTTCACTGCTAAGTGTAATAAACTGACTCCAGCCAGGGCCTGGCAGAAGCACATGTGCAGCCTCTGGGGAAGGTGCTCACCTTGCAGGCCTCAGAATATTGCAGCCATTGAAGCAGGAAATTTCCCCTGACCCCTTCGTGGGCAGGAACTGAAGTGCAGGCACTAGAGGTAGCTGGCAGCTTCGGTACCAGCAGGGGAAAACTCCACTCACCCAAACCCCTTGTGTTCAACCCTTGTGGGAGGGAACAGGCAGGTGAGCAGTTGCAGCAGCCAGGGTGAGTGCTTTCGAGTGTTAGCTGGGGCAAAACTGCGTGGGCCCTGGAGCAGCATCTGGGAGAAGTACCCATGACCCCCAAAGCCCCAGAAGGAATGTTACAGTCAGTGCTCTTTTAGTTCTGCCATCCACAGATGGCTTAAGTGTTAACAGCTCAGTGGGCCCTCTGCCTTTTCTCATGAGGTGGCTGCTTTCCACCAGTGAGGGCAGGGGGTCAGTGTGACAGCCTTTTGCATCTGCACCCATGGTACCTCAGCTCTTGTTTGGCGTCCAGGTCACACAAATTGAAGGGTGGTGAATGCGGGGAATTTTATTGCCGATGAAAGCGGCCCGCATCAGGAAAGGGAGTTGGAAAGGGGATGAAGCAGGAAGGTGATCTTCCCCTGGAGTGATGCCGTCAAGCCGTCTCTCTGAAGTCAAGCTGCTTCTCTCCAACATCCAACTGTACTCTCTGATGTCCAGATGCTTCTCCTCTTCTCTGCTCTCTGCCAGTGGAACCTGGGGTTTTTATAGGCACAGGATGGGGGGTGGGGGCAGGCCACGGGTGGTTTTGGAAAAGGCAACATTTGAGCGGGAAAACAGGAAGGCATGTTCTCACTTTGGGCTGTGGTTCCAGTCTTCAGGTTCGGGCCTTCACTGGGGACCTGCCCTTTTCTGTCCAGAATTTCCTTGCCTCCTGTCCCTATCATTCCCCACCTTGGAAGAGGCACATCTAACTGCTGTTAGAATATGAACAATGATTGATCTTAGCTACTTCTTGCTGACAGGGGGCGTTGTTTTGGGGAGATCAGTTTTCTCCTTCGTCTCTGAGATGTTTATTTGCACCATCACTCATATCTGGCTCTTCCCAGAGTCCTCTCTTCCTGCTGTAGCTCATGATAGATCTTCAGATGTTTGGTGGGCACCCACACAGGCACCTGATTGTCACCTGGAGAAACACAAGCAAATCCTCTTCCCCATGTAATTATCCGCCCTTGGATTAAGTTTAGTTAAAGGGCCAGGGAGGTTAGTATGTGCTCTAATATGAGTGACATAGAAAGGGGAATGCCTTTGTTGTACTGATTGCTGTAAAGAATGAAATAGAAGATTAGGTTGGTCATCAGTCACATTTTGAATTCAGGCACATTCAATATTTTGTGTGGCTTGCACTACATAGACTGAATCAGAAGCAATGTTTACTGGCTGTTTAAAAATTTTTAACACTATTATTACAGCCATAAGTTCAGCCCTTTGAGCAGAAGCAAAGTCAGTTTGAAAAACTTGCTGTTGAGGTCCTGCAAATGAGGCTTTTCCATTACTAGATCCATCAGTGAAAACAGTAGTGGCCCCTTCAATAGGGGCTTTTTGAGTAATAGAAGGCAATATCCATGATGTTAATTTAAGAAATTGGAATATTTTGGATTTAGAATAATGATTATCAAGAACACCAGTAAAACCTGCCAAATTAACTTGCCATTCCTGGGAATTAATATAAGCCTGCTGAATTTGTTGTTTGTTTAATGGAACCATAATTTGATTTGGATTATATCCCATTAACTTTGTTGTGCACAGCCTTGCTTGTCCTACTAGTACAGCAATTTGATCTAAGTACAGAGTGAGCATTTTAGCTGTATTGTGAGGTAGAAAAAGCCACTCAACCAGATCGTTCTGTTGAACAATAACTCCTGTAGGTGAATGTTTAGTAGGAAAAACTAAAAACTGTAATGGCTGCGTAGGGTTAATTCAAGTCACTTGTGCTTGTTGAAATTTTTTTTTCAATTAATTGAAGTTTCTCTAATGCTTCTTTGGATAGAGAATGTTTGCTGTTAAGGTTCAAATCACCTTGTAAGGTAGAAAAATGATGAGACATAGCATAAGTAGGAATGCCTGAAGTGAGACGAATCCAATTAATGTCTCCTTATAATTTTTGAAAATCATTTAGAGTTTTTACATTATCTCTTCTAATTTGAACCTTTTGAGGCTTAATAGTACTTTGTTCTACTTTCATTCCTAAATACTGAAAGGGAGCAGAAGTTTGGATTTTTATTAGGGGCTATGATTAATCCCACTGCAGTTACAGTGTTTTCCAATTGTTTAGAATAACATTAATTCTTCTCTAGTTTCAGTTGAACATAAAATATCATCCATTTAATGGAGAATATAGCATTTTTTGAATTGTTCTCTAACTGGTTTAATAGCTTTTCTGACATAAGTTTGACAAATAGTTGGACTATTTAACCTGCCTTGTGACAGTACTTTCCAATGGTATCCGTCCACTGGTTCTTTGTTATTTATAGCGGGAACAGTAAAAGCAAATTTTTCATAATCTTGAGTAGCTAAAGGAATGGTAAAAAAGCAACCTTTTAAATCTATTACTATGAGAGGCCAGTATTTGGGGATCATTGTTGGAGGGGGCAGCCCTGGTTGCAGTGTGCCCATGGGTTGAATCACAGCATTAACGGCCCTCAAGTCTGTTAACATTCTCCATTTCCTTGATTTTTTCTTAATAACAAATAGAATTCCAAGGAGAGAAAGTAGGCTCCATGTGTCCCTTTTGCAATTGTTTCTGTGCCAATTTTTTGAAGCCTCCAGTTTTTCCTGTTTCAGCAGCCATTGCTCCACCCAAACTGGTTTGGCAGTTAATCAAACAAGAGGAATGGGAGCTGGAGGCTCAGCAATGGCCGCTCCTAAAAATGATACCCTAATCCAGTTCAATCCATTTGCCTTTTTAGTTCTAAAGATTCTGGTTGGCCACTTTCATTTTTCCCGGTCCCTTTTCTGGGAGATATCCCATTTTTCTCATCATTTGTTTACTGTTATTACTACACTGAGCCATAGGAATAGATATTTCAGCACCCCATTGTTGTAGTAAGTCTCTACCCCATAGATTGACAGGACTAGGTATAATAATAGGTTGAATTGTCTCTTCTTGGTCATCTAGCCCTTAGCATGGCAAAATTAAAGAACTTTGAAAAACTTCTGAGGCAGCCCCTACCCCAACAATACCAATGGATGCCTCTTGTTTTGGCCAATGCCAGGGCCATTGATTTAAACCAATAATAGAAACATCAGCTCCAGTATCTGCTAGCCCCTCAAAATCTTTACCTTGAATGGTTACTGTACAAATAGGTCTTTTGTCAGACACTTGATTAACCCAACATATAGCTTTTCCTGCTGGATTCGCACTACCAAAGCCTCCTATTCTTTTTACTGTGCTTCTTCCCAGTTTTGCATAAGATAACAGTAACAACTGAGCAATTCTTTCTCCTGGGGAAGCAGACCATGGAATTGAGGAACTAATAACTAATTGAATCTCTCCAGTATAATCAGAATCAATTATTCCTGTATGTATAGTGGCACCTCTTAAATTTAAACTAGATCTTCCAAGCGATAGACCAACTGTTCCTGAGGGTAAAGGGCCCCTAACTCCCATGAGGACTTTCTTTGGTGGCTCTCCAGGAAGTTAGGAAACAGGAATTGTGCTGCAGAGATCTACAGATCTACAATTGCTGTACATTTGTAGGGATACTGACAGTGCCGCATATGCCTTGGTTTGTTGAGGGGGCCTGAGGCCAGCCCCTCTTCCCATTTCCAGAAAGTGGTTGCCCATCTTTGCTAAATTTAGAAAGACACTGATTTGCCCAGTGATTGCCCTTCTTACATCGGGGGCAGATACCAGGACTTTTTCGTTGCTTACTGGTAGTAGCCCTTGCCTATTGATTTCCCTTTTAACATTCCTTTTTTGTGTGTCCAAACTGCCCACAATTAAAACAAGAGCCTGGCTGGGCGCGGTGGCTCAAGCCTGTAATCCCAGCACTTTGGGAGGCCGAGACGGGCAGATCATGAGGTCAGGAGATCGAGACCATCCTGGCTAACACGGTGAAACCCCGTCTCTACTAAAAAATACAAAAAAAAAAAAAAAAACTAGCCGGGCGAGGTGGCGGGCGCCTGTGGTCCCAGCTACTCGGGAGGCTGAAGCAGGAGAATGGTGTGAACCCGGGAGGCGGAGCTTGCAGTGAGCTGAGATCGTGCCACTGCACTCCAGCCTGGGAGACAGAGCGAGACTCTGTCTCAAAAAAAAAAAAAAAAAAAAAAAAAGGGCATATTTTCCCCCACTTTTAATTCAGCCATTGCTTGAGCTAAAAGAGTAGCCTTATGTAAGTTACCTCCAATGTTATCACAAGTCTTAATATATTCAGCCAAATGAGCCTTCCCTCTCATAGGTCTAATGAAGGAAGGATTTTTTTCCCTGTAACATCTATTTTTTTCCATGCCCGTAAGCACACAGTGCATAACTGAACAATGGCAACATTTTTCATTACTGCTTGATTGTCTAATTGGCCCCAATTAGGGCCTAACCCCATTAACTGTTCAAAGGAAATAGGCACAGGCGGCTGTGCTTGTGTGTTTTCTCTTGTCTGAGTTTGAGCTTCATCAGCCCATGAAGTTTTAAACTGCAAGTACTGAGATGGAGTGAGAACAGACTTTGTTAAAGTATCCCAGTCATATGGTATTAATCTATTATCAAGAGCCACATTTTTTAGTAAAGTTTGTACAAAAGGAGAATTTGGCCCATATTGACTAATGGCTTGCTTAAATTCCTTTAACATCTTAAAAGGAAAAGTGGCTCAATTAACTATGTTTTGTCCTCCTTGCTGAATTATAGTAACTGGAAATTGCCATGCTTCTAGCTCTTCTTCAGCTCTAGCCTTCTGAATAGAATTTTGTGTAGCACCACCAATTGTTCCCCATATTTAATGTTGCCACTAAGCAGTAAGTTTTGCAGCTAATTCATCTTCTCGCCCATTAAGGGGAGAGGGAGAAGGTGGCCATTCACTTAATTCAGCAGGTGGAACCAACAGGCTAGTAAAATATACCTTTTTCAGCTTCCCTTTCTTTTCTTTAATTTCTTCCAGTTGCTGTTCTTCATATTCAGAATCTGAAGTTAATTTTTTACACTCATCTACCTCTTTCTCATCTGAATCTGCCTCGTCATCTGTTTGAAATGGCTCAAGAACTGCCTTTATCAACACCCACACTGACCAAACAGAAACTAGAATTCTGGCATCTTCTGTATGGGCCTTTAAAAAATCTCTGCCAATTCTTTCCCATTCATCTAACTCCATTGTCCCTTGTTCTGGGAACCATGGATAAAACTGCTCTATTGTACGAAAGAGTGTTAATAAATTCTGAGTACTGACCTTCACTCTCCCTCTCCGTAATAAATGCCTTGGGAAATTTAAATAAGTAGAATGTTTGCTTTCATTTTGTTCCATTGTTACCCTGGTTCTTCTGAGCACTCAGCTTTCCCGCCGAGCTTCTTTCAGTCACCTTCGGGTGTCCTCTGACAATGCATCCTCTGCTTCCGTACACTCTGGTGTTTCTTCACTGGGGTCTTCATAGCTCCACATTAGGTGCCAGAAATGTTGGGGTGATCAGACTCAACACCAGGCCATGGGGGCTACAAAGTCTGGCGGAGTCAAAGGAATGAGAAGAGACAAGTTAAGAGTGCATAAGGTGGGTCCAGGGGGCCAACGCTGGTATGGAGGCTACAAAGGCCCTGAGCTCTGGGAGGCCACACTCTTTCTTGGTGATCACACAAAAAACCAGGTGGTGAGGATGCACGGATGTGGTGGTAAACAGGTGAGGACGTAGGGGTAGAAAGGTAGGGGTGCATCAAGCATAGCTGTGATGGTTTAGCATTTTCTTTGACGCATATAGAATATGCTCTGCTGCTTGAGATAATGGAGAACATGTTTACAAGGCTGGGAGAGCAACCAACAAGTCTGTGCACGTTCCACAGGCTGCGAGGGGTTTTGTGCCCTGCGCCCTGAATTCCATCCAAGCCATGGGATTAGATTTGTGGTACAGCAGGGCAGCCTTCCACCTTTGGCACAGAGCTTGGTGTTCCAAAGGCCACAAGGGATTTTAGACCCTGGACCCTGAACATCTTCCAAGACTCTTTTATATTATGACAGACAAGCCAGTCCTACCTCAGCTCTTCTACCAACACTGTGGCCATCCTGAGGGCTGAAGGATATATCCTCTAGAGATGGCCCAGTCTATTTCTGTAGGAGAATATTGAGGTTTTATTTCTCTTATGGGGTCCTCCCAGATCAGTGGGGCTTCAAGTGTATCAGAAATCAGAGGCACTCTCAGTGCTGATTTAGCTGCGTGGTCCACCAACCTATTTCCCTCACCTACTTCATCCATCCCTTTTTGATGGCCTTTACACTGTATTACTGCCACTTCCTGTGGAAGGAAAACCGAGGATAGTAGTTTATTAATTTCCTGATGGTATTTAATGGGAGACTCATTAGCGGTGAAGAAGTTCCTCTCTTTCCAGATAACGGCATGGACATGGAGGACTAGGAAAGTGTACTTAGAATCAGTATAAATGTGAACTGCTTTCCCTTTGCTTAATTCTAGTGCCCTCATCAGGGTGATTAGCTCAGCTAGTTGAGCGCTGATGCCCAAGGAGAGAGATGCATTCTCAACAATATCATTCAGAGTAACCGTTGCATACCTTGCTTTATGGATCCCTTGCTCCACAAAAGAACTTCCATCCATAAAGAGTGAGGGTTCTCTAAGGCGGTTTCCTTGAGGTACTCCCTGGCTGCATAGGTTTGCACTACTATCTGTTCACAGTCATGTTCAAGCTCCCCAGCTTCCTCTGGGAGGAAGGTGGCTGGATTTAGGAAGGGACTCTTCTTAATTTGACTGCAGATCCCTCTAATAACAGAGCTTGATACCAGAGGAAGCAGTTGTCTGTTAGCCAGAGACTCCCCTTAGAAGAAAGCAGTCCTTCCCCATTGTGTGGGGTATAAATGGTTACATTATTCCCCATGGTTAACTTAGTAGCTTCCGGTACCAGCGAGGCTACTGCTGCAACTGACTGGAGGCAGGCTGGCCATCCTTCAGCTATCAAATCAAGTTCCTTAGTTAGGTAGTCTACAGGCTGCTGGGCTGGACTGTGGCCTGTGTTAGAACTCCCAGGGCCATTCCCTTTCTTTCTGACACATAAAGATTAAACGTCTTCCCTGTGGGGAAACTAAAGGCCAGTGCCTTAAGCAGGGCTTGTTTAGTTGGTCAAAAGCCTCTGGTTCCCAAATTACACAGTGAGTTTTATCTGCCTGAGTCTCCTTTGTTAGGTGATATAAGGGACAAGCTATTTCACTGTACCCAGTTATGAATCCAGTAATGCCTAAGAATCCCCTTAGTTCCTTGAGGGTTTGGGGGAGGGGAAAGAAGGAGATGGATGTAATCCTCTCTTCACCCAACGCTCTGGTCCCCTCTGACAAGACCAGGCCTAGGTACTTCAAAGTCTGACAGAGCTGGGGTTTAGATTTTGAAACCTTATATCTTCTGTTAGCCAGAAAATTAAGAAGAGCCTTTCTGTCCTCCAGAGAGATTTCCTCAGTGGAGCACAGAGGAGAATGTCACCTATGAATTGAAAAACTGTAACCTGAGGATAAAGGAACTTGGAGAGGTCTCTTGACAATGCCTGCCCGCACAAGTGGGGGCTGTCTCAGAACCCCTGAGGTGACACTGTCCAAGTCAACTGGGTGGTTTAGTTAGAGGGCTCCTCAAATGCAAACAAATACTGAAAGTCAGGGTATACAATGTCCAGAAGAAGGCATTCTTTAGGTCCAGGACTGTAAACCATTTAGTTCCTTCAGGTATTTGAGCTAGCAGGGTATATGGATTGGGAACCACTGGGTGAATAATGGAGGTCTTGAATTAGTTAGTCTCCATTCCTCGTTGGGTTTTTGTACCCCCAATATTGGGTATGACAAGGGCTGTTGCAGAGTTTGAGGAAGCCCTGCAACCTTAAGTTATCAACGATGGCTTGTAGTCCTTTCCTAACTTCTGGTTTCAGGGAATATTGTTTCTGGTTAAAAAAGGAGAACTTAAGGTTGACCCAGACCAGTATGGCAGTTGTGGCTTGGTCAAGTTTTTTGGCTTTTTGTTTTGTTTTGTTTTTAGACAAAGTCTCACTCTGTCACCCAGGCTGGAGTGCAGTGGTGTGATCTCAGCTCAATGCAACCTCCGCTTCCTGAGTTCAAGCAATTCTCCTGCCTCAGCCTCCCGAGTAGCTGGAATTACAGGTGTGCACCACCATACCCGGCTAATTTTTGTATTTCTAGTAGAGACAGGGTTTTGCCATGTTGGCCAAGCTGGTCTCAAACTCCTGACCTCAGGTGATCTGTCCGCCTCAGCCTTCCAAAGTGCTGGGGTTACAGGTGTCAGCCACCGCGCCCAGCCGCCCATTTTCCCTTGAATTGCCCAAACTTCTGGGTCTCATCTAATGGACCTGTCATGCAAGACCCAAAAGGACAATATTTCCAAGTAGCTTGGAAAAAGTAATTTGGTGCCTTGATCTGAGGGGATCATCTGATGGAAGCTCCATGATTTTTAATTTTTTTCAGAGTCAGGGTCTTGCCCCGTCACCCAGGCTGGAGAGCAGTGGCGCAACTGTGGCTCACTGCAGTCTCAAGCTCCAAGGCTCAAGCGATCCTCCCACCTCGGTCTCCTGAGTAGCTGGGACTACAGGCCCATACCACTACACTTGTGCTTCTTTAAAAGAAGGTTATATGTTGACATAATTACAAGACTTCCCAGAATTCAAAAGTGTTCCAACCAGCACTTTGGCAAAAAACGTTGGAGTCTGTGCTTCCCTCCCACTGATTTTCTCCATCACTTGGCGTTGGTGAGCTGCCCTGGCTCCTCTGTAGTGAGAAGTGGGTCATAAATTGCCCACCCGTGGCTCAGAAGTACTCAGGACCTGGGTGAAGGGGCAGGAGAGGGCTTGTCCCACCACAAGGGTGAGAAAGCAGCTCTGCGGAAGGGAAACTGCCCCTCTGCAACTCCGCAAGGAGCCTCCTGCAAGGCCTGGACCCGGCCAAGTTCCCGCGTCCCCTGGGGTAGGGGCTCCCATAGCCCCCCAGAGCTTCCTCTACAGCCACAGTTTCTGCTGCCCACAGTGGGCCAGGGTCTCTCCCCCTGGGAAGCTGAGTGTTCCACAGTCTGGGCAGTCCCTGGGGCCACCAGCTGGCAGAGGTGCTCCCTGTGGTGGTCACAGCCTTCACTGGAGCTGCCTGAGGCTGGCCAGCCTTTCCCAGGACTTCGCTGGGACTGCTGGCCTTTGGAGGAAGCTGGGAAGCACGTGAGCACTCGGGAAAGACTGGGCTAGTCCGGAGCTGTCCCTTAGTCCCCAGGGTGAGGGATGGGAGGGCTGAAGCTTGGTGAACAGGCTGGACCTGGACACGTGTCATTGAGACAGCATCTGAAAGGGGCAGCCAGAGCCGTGACAGCTGGGACTTCCAGGACACTGCCACCAGCTATGGGGAAGTGTGCTGGGCCGTCCCCCTCGTGGGGAAGGACTTTCCATGTTCCCGTCTTACAGGAGAGAAAAGAGCCGAGGAGAGACCCAGCCAAGCCCATCCCAGGGGCTGCATCGCTCTGCTTGGGTGTCCCAGGGGTGACCCAGCTTCTGTCCCCTGCCCAGCTGGCCTTGGCTCTGCTTCCCGGGGACTCAGACCTTCCCTCCCCTCACTGCAAAGGGGCAGGGTGGGTCCTGGGCCTGCATGGCCAGGCCTCAGTTTCCCTTCCCTCGTGGGAGATGTGGCCCCGCCAGCCCCTCAGCCCACCTGGCTTTTGTCCTTCCAGCCTGGATGCCCTGTTTCCTTGGGGACACCAACACCATTTTTTCTTTAAGTCAATCTAGAAAAACACATGGCCACACAGCCCTTGGCAAACAATTCCAGAACAATCCTTGGATCATTTTGGAAAAAGTAAGCATTCCCCTTCTTCTCCCACTCTTCTGAACTCCACCCACCCATGCAGTGGGAGGGACTGAGATGCTCGCTGCTTTCAGGGGAAAGACCTGGGGACAGAGGGCACCTGACAGAGCTGCCCCTGCCCAGGCCTGCTTGGGCTGAACCTAGACAGAGCCCTTCACTGCAAAAATGTGGACCCTCCAGCTCCTGTTTGGGCTCAGGAAGGACCCCAGGGCCCCTGCACACATAAGGGCCAGGCTCTCTATTTGACCGAGAGTGGGGCCAAGGTCATGGCCACGGGAGGGTGTGGGAGGGTGGACAGAGTTGGTCCTAGGACACGGTTCCTGCCCTTGAAGTTCCAGACTTTGCTCAGCCCTGAGAATCAGCTGCCCTCCGGGTAGGGGAGCCCCTCTGCTGACCAAACCTGCCCCGTCCCCAAATGAACAGGGCTGCCCCCAGCTCAGGGTCCTCCTTCAGGCCTCTGCACCAAACGCAGGACAAGCTGCTCATTCACCCCCAACAGGGGCGGAGACCAGGCAGTGAGGGTGACAGGATTTTACTGTGGGATTAGGGGTGGTGGAACAACAGAGCAACCCAGAGGACACAGGACAAGTGCAGCCTGAGCCCAGCCTGTCCTGGGGTCGGAGCCTGTCCTGGGGTCGCACCCTGGCCCCTCCCACTGCCCCGCCTT